AATCAAAGGAGAAACCTTCTTGTCCATTAGTCATTTACAATATAAGATTTGTAAGATCTTGGCAAACAAAAATGCAGAAATTTAAACAGAATGTGATGTTGTTAAAAGTGAAAATCCACATTTCACTAAACCCCAAATTAGCCTCATCTAAGTGCTTTAGTAAAACTAAAGAAACTATCAAACTTAACATTATGCTATTTCTAGATTTTTGAAGCAAGGGAAAAAATACAGTGAATGGAAAAAAGCAATGCTAAATGTAGAAATCAAGCACATTAATGAGATGATTTACTGAAGGGAATGGTACAGTTAGAAACAAACTGTGAAAGTGAAAGAAAATGATACAGGTAAAAATTCAAAATACACAGAAACACAAGATTTTATATAACACTAAGCTATGATTTAAATTACTTCTTGGACTGCTTTTTACATGACTTAACATCCCCTCATTAGTTTTTTTTTTTTTTTGCCAGAAGAACACTAGAGAAAAATACTACTCTATAAAAGAAAACATACAGAATAAATTCACCCTATGTATCAAAAATAAGAAGCCAAAGTGTTCTGTAAGTAGAAAACTCAAACATACTTGCTATGCAAAAGGAGGTTCTACTAAATGGATTATTCCCAGAATTCATCACTGCTTACTATATGAGTACCTGATGCTATTCACCGAAAGTTAAAATTTAATGTGAAAATACACTTTGAGATAAAGGGCACACCATCCAAAGAACTATAACAGCTGCAGCTTTTTTCTACCTTATTTGAACTAGAAAGTCCAAAAATGAAGCTCAGCTATCAATGAATGGAAAAAAAGAGTTTAAGACTTATAAAACTAGAAAATTCTAATTTTAGAAAAGTAATTGCTTTATTTCTTAGGTAGAACATTTCTCACTGACCTCTTCCCTCATTCTTGAGAAAGTTACTTTGTTAGTAAAAAGGGAATAAAATCATGAACCAAAGAAAGTGAGAAATTTCTGTAATTCAGTTGCTTTTAAATGTTAAGAAATATAAAATCAAGCAGAAAAGATTTAAACCTTGGCGAAACTAAAAGAACATGATTAACACTGAGGAGCAGAATTTGGGCAAAATAAAAATTGTCCATTTCTAGGCCTCTTTCAAGCTTATATTACAGCAGGAGTCCAATTAAATACCAATCCGGGGAAGTCCCAGTTCACTCCTTAGTAAACTGAATAGTCCACAAAATGCCTTTTAATAAATCGAGCAAAAGGGAAAGACATTGTAATAACAGAGAACTTAAATGTAGACAAAGGCCATAATGTAAAAATCTAATATCTATAATTTACTTCATAATATTATAGGAAGACAAATTACCCTTACATATGCTTTAAGAATTAGTTTATTTTAAATACTTTATGAAAGTATATAGAACATTTGCTTAACATTTTGCAACACAGAAAATGTATCTTAAGTTAAATCTAGCACCTTACCTTAAACCAAATATGTGTGACTGTTCATAGTTGAATAAAGAACGAATCTTAGCTTCAGAATTCAAAATTATAAGTCTATCAATAATATCCTGAAAAAGAGACTTAGGGTGAGACTGTGCTTGACTGGAACCATTTAAAGAAAACCAAATCAACAAATACTTACTTAGATTTCTGGTTCTCAAACTCAGCTACACATTTGAATCACCTACGGAGCTGTTTATAAAAATTAATTCCTGCATCTCACCCCTAAAGATTCTTAATTAACTCATTTGGGTGTGGTAGGGGCATTAAGATTCCTGAAATGAATCATCAAATGTTTAACCAAAATAGAGAATTACTAATTTATACCCCATCTAGTATTGTGAGCAGCCAGTTAAATATTATTTAAACTGCTAAAAATGTAAACTACTTTGAAAAACAAATATGAACTCTACAAATGTGAATCATGAATAGTGGGTTTAAACAGTTTTACCTAGGAACTGTTTGAGATTTTGTTAATAGATACTCTCTGCTCATGTAAATCAGTGGTTTCCAGTCCTGAACGAACACTGAAATCAACTTAAAAAACTTTAGTGAACTTAAAAAATATATAGCTGCCCAGGCTCTACCCCAGAGCAATTAAGTCACTATCCCTGGGGGTACATTCTGGCATTAATAACCTTGTGAAAGCTTCCAAAAGTTGTTGCAATGGGTAACCAGGCTTAAAACTCACTGGCGCAAGTGCAGAGAATCCGATTATCTAGGTGCCACAAGATGTCCCAAGCAATGGAAATTAAAGCCTACTACTGCAAATTTTTGAGCACTCTCTAAAAGCCTTTCTTTCTATAATACTTGGTATTTGTGCATATCTTTGGGTTCAAGCCTAAGAACTCTACGCATAGACAAAAACCTGTCTCTCTCATTGCTCATTTTCCTGGCCAAGAAACTTGCTACCTCCATGAGTTAAAATTCAAGATATTTCTGTAACCAACAGGGTAAAAGAGGAAGGTTATGCTGGGGAATAAAGTCACATAATACTTATGGGGAACTATGTAGATAATACTACAAACATATCATCAAATAAGTAAGAGGCAAGGGAGTAAGTTTATAAGGAGGAGGAAATAATGGCTCTCAATATCACATCTGAAAAAATGCAAGACAGAGTAAAAACTGGATTTTGTATAAACTTACCTAATGAAAGTTTATATGGAACATTTAGGAATGCATTTACCATCCTATAGTTTTTCCTGTAAAACTGTGTAAATAATATTAGCACAAGAATTTATAGTCAGCAAATACAAAATAAACTGCCTCACAATGAAGGATGAAAGAACTGCTATCTTAAATAATCTGTCATTGTTGTCTGCTTCTTAGCTGAGTATTCCTTGTATCAAAACAGTATGTGACACTTTGTGACTCCAGAGTTCTAGTTCTGAATCTGAAATCTAGATACTGTAAGAATAAGAAAGAATACAAGACAGAGAATGTATTCCCAGCAAGCTGGAAGAGTAGATCGCAGCAATCTATCAATAATAATGCATTTTCAGAGAACAAATGTTACAGTAAATAACTTCTTCTTCACAGAGGATTACACTGATGGATCACCACTTACGAAAGAAAAGGAAACTCCTGGGAAGCCACTCTTATGGAGAAATTCAGATTCTAAGCACTACAACACATGTCAATAAGGCAATTAGTTTCCTAAATTAAGTAGCAATTTCCCAGTAACAAGCTAATGCAAGTAAGGCTTGGGTCTCGGAAAAAAGGAGTCTGAAACCCTGCTTTTTTAAAAGCATATCGTCCATCTTGAGATTATGTTCAATCATCTTGCAGGCCAGAATGAGACCAAGACTGGGAAAACAAAGAGGAATATGCATTCTCTACGAGTAAATGTATGTTTAAGTGCCCATTCTGCTTACAACTGTCCCAATGGCTATGCTTGTGCTATCTGACCCCTTTTACTTAAAAAAGGGCCAAGTGAAGGGTGAGAGCTAGGTTAACCGTAATGCCAATATTCCTATACCTGCACTATTAGGAGTGGCTTATGACTGGTTAATCAAGAACACCCACAAACAAAATGCAGGCTTTACTAAGGTCCTTCCTTGGGATTTTTCAAACTGGGGAGTCTCTTAGCGCATCTGACTGCTGTAATAGAATAACACAGACTGGGCAGCTTATAAATGCCAGAAACTTTATTTCTCACAGTTCTGGAGGCTGAGAAGTCCAAGACTGAGTTGCCAAAAGACTTTCTGTCCAGTGAAAACCCACTTTCTAGTTCATAAAAAGTCATCTTTTTCTTATGTCCTCAGATGGCAGAAGGGGCGAGAGATTTCTCTAGGGTCTTTTTTAAGGCACCAGTCATCTCCTATAGGCCCCACCTCCAAATATCATCACACAGAGAATTAGGTTTCAACATGTAAGTTCAGGGCTATTCAAACTTTCAGTCTACAGCCAGGAGGTAGAGGAAAATGCCACTCGGATGGCGTAGTGAGCTGAATGGTGATTCCCTCCAAAAAGGATATGTGTATGTTCTAATCCCCACAAACCTATCATTGTTACCCTATTTGAAAAAAGACAGACACTTAAATGAGGCACTTAAAAGCAGAGTTCTCTCTGACTGGTCATAGAAGTCAGAGAGATTCAGAGGATGAGAGAAGTCCTTCATTGCTTACCTGGAGGGGACAACAGGACAAAGCCCTGAAAGTAGCCCCCTGCTGACAGCCAGCAGGAAACCAGGCACTTCAATCCCACAACTGTAAGAAATTTACCTCTCCCAACAAGAAGAATGAATTAGGACATGGATTTTCCCCAGAGCTTCCAGACAAGCCCTCAGCCTACTCAACACTTTTGATTTCAGCCTTGTAATACTCAGAGCAGAAAACCCAGGCACACAGTACTTGACTCCTGACCTACAAAACTGTGAGCTAACAGAGTACTCATTCCAGCAATTTGATATGCAGCAATAGAAAAAAAATTAGAGATACATTGGTAAATATAAGATAAGCCAAGGTTATTAATTTTGGCGTAACTGATAATAGCAAAAGACTTAAAGAAACTAGGTATCCATCAACAGACAACTAGATGAATAAATTCTAGTACATCCA